TAGCTGGAGCTGCACTGCTCAGAACCCAGGAGCCAGGAGATTCCTCCAGGTCTTCCCATGAGGGTGCAGGGGCCCAAGGGCTTGTGCCATCTGCTTTCCCAGTCCACCGCAGAGTCTGGATCAGAAGTGGAGCAGCTGGGAATTGAACCAGTGCCATATGGGATGCTGGCACTGTTGGGGGTAGCTTTACCCTCTACACCACAATGCCAGCCCTGAGATCTGACCTTAACCTGGTGGGTTCCTGCCTGATGGGCATGGCATCCACAAATGATGTAGGTGATTGTATTCTGCACCCACAACTTTTGTCACATTGTTTTTAATTATCTATGTCCTTGTCATTTGTCCACCAGGACTGAAATCACCTTTAGGGTAATCATGATATTCACATTATTCATATTGCATCAATCATACCCAGGAGAGTACCAGGCATAATGCAGACAAGTCACCCCTGTCTCCCTTCCTCCTCTGCTCCTCATTCCCACAGTGCTAGGTGCTCTTGCTCTTCTCCTCCTCCTCCACCCCTCCCTCTGCACAGCTACCACCACCATGAGACCCAAACACCATGCTCCTCTACTCCCTCTGACCCCATACACTCTCCAGTTCCAGTGGATCCTAACAGGATGACATATCAAGTGTGGAGGTTTAGTTGTACTCATGAAGCGAAGCTACAGAGCTCCACTATCACTAAGTGAATTGTGGATGTTGGCCTTGAAAGCTTTGATTCTTGTGCTCAGTTCTATGGTCCTATGACAACTGAGAGCATGGCAGGAATTAAGGAGATGCCTGCCTGCGTATCCCATTCAGTTAGGAGCCACAGAGCTCTGCAGCATTGTTGTTGGAGCCCTTTCCATTTATTCACTGCTCAAACCTATTGCTTTCTTTTCTGCTTTGTGTCCATCCACTCATATCAGAGTAGCCAGGACAGTGCGTTTTTATGAATCATGATATGGAGAGCCAGTGGACCCCTTACTTGGACTTTATAATGTGCATTTTGGCTATTCCAGGAAATTGTTTTTTTTTAAAGATTTATTTATTTATTTGAAATAGTTACAGAGAAAGAGAAGGAGAGGAAGAAAGAGAGGGAAAGGTCCCCCATCTGTTGGTTCATTCCCAATTGGCTGCTATGGTCGGAGCTGTGTCAATCTGAAGCCAGGAGCCAGGAGCCTCTTCAGGTCTCCCACATGGGTGCAGGGGCCCAAGGCCTTGGGTCATCTTCTACTGCTTTCCCAGGCCACAGCAGAGAGCTGGATCAGAAGTGGAGCAGCCAGGACTTGAAGCAATGCCCATATGGGATGCCACACTGCAGGTGGCAGCTTTAACCACAATGCCATAGTGCTGGCCCCTTCCCAAGGAATTTTTTTTACTTCTTTCCTGCTTAATTGTGCTTTAGTTACCTAAGGTTGATGAATCTATAAATTGTGAATTAGTGAGGTATTCCAAATTTAGCTTTGAAATATATGATTTTGTGGGTTTTTTAACTTAACTTTTTTTATAAATTTTTTTTTTTTTTGACAGGCAGAGTGAACAGTGAGAGAGAGAGATAGAGAGAAAGGTCTTCCTTTTACCATTGGTTAAACCCTCCCATGGCCGCCGCGGCCAGCATGCTGCGGCCGGCGCACCGCGCTGATCTGATGGCAGGAGCCAGGTGCTGCTCCTGGTCTCCCATGGGGTGCAGGGCCCAAGCACTTGGGCCATCCTCCACTGCCCTCCTGGGCCACAGCAGAGAGCTGGCCTGGAAGAGGGGCAACCGGGACAGAATCTGGCATCCCGACCGGGACTAGAATCCGGTGTGCCGGTGCTGCAAGTTGGAGGATTAGCCTATTGAGCCACGGCGCTGGCCTTTTTATAAATATTGAGCATTACTACTCCTTTTTAAAAATATTTATTTGCTTATTTATTTCAAAATCAGAGTTACACAGAGAGAGGGGAGGCAGAGAGAGAGAGAGAGAGAGAGAGAGAGAGAGAGAGAGGTCTTCTATCTGATGGTTCACTCTCCAATTGGCCACAATGGCCAGAAGTGTGCTGATTCAAAGCCAGCAGCCAGGAGCTTCCTCCAGGTCTCCCATGTGGGTGCAGGGGACCAAGTATCCTCTACTGCTTTCCCAGGCCATAGCAGAGAGCTGGATTGAAAGTGGAGCAGCCAGGTCTTGAACAGGGGCCCATATGGGATGCCGGCACTTCAGGCCTGGGTGTTAACCTGCTGTGCCACAGCGCCAGCCCCTGAATTTTATTTTTTTATTTAGACCTTTCTTATAGAAATGGAGTATGTCTTCTAGTTTCTAAGTAACTGCATCATAATGAGGACCATTGTAGATTGTAGCAGTTAAAAATATTTGGCTTGATGATCAACATAAGGCTTATAGATAGTAGCTACCCATGAGATTGTGTCTTGGATTTAGGGGAAGTTTATGTCAGTTGGAGGTAGCCTTTAATTACTGATGAACATGAATGTACTGAGAACTCCTTGTCCATTAAATAATAAAATCCAAATGAAGATTTACACACGAGTTCCCTCCTGCCTTCATCTACCATTGAAATCCTGTTGTTTCTGCCTTTTGGATCTCCCTGTAATCTGTTGCCTCTTCTTCATTCCCACTACCACCATACCTTGGTTCAGGTCCTACTAAATTACCTTGATATACTTTTTAATTGACCTCTCTGCTTTTTGTTTTTCTTACCTTTGTGTAAAGCCTCTTAGTTCATCCAAACATTTTTCTGATTGCTCAGGTTCTCTTACTCCAATAACTAGGAAAATCATGTGGCTGGTAGTTCTTTCAACACACCACACAAAAGAATGCTCAGTAAATGCTTACTAAATAGTGAATGGAAAGCCTTACAAAGCTAGGGTGAACATTTAACCTGCTTGGCCCTGGATGGTTTCTGTTTATACATTTCAACCCTGTGTCATTATGAATATGTCTCTTTTATTATCAAAGTTGTCTCTGAGCAACAAATTATACATTCATCTAATTGTGTGTGTTATCAAATAGATATCTATTTCATTGTCTCTTCAACTAGGTAGTTATTGGGGATCAGAAATTGTATTTGTTTAATTTTTATAGCCTCATTTATTCATTCAACTAAAAGAATGACTCTATCAAGATGCTGAGTTTCAATGTCAAAGCAAACATGTTTCTTGCCCTCCTGAATTTTCAATCTGGCAAGAAAAAGCAGTCTACACAAAGAATATCACCTGACATAATAAACATTAGTGTGAAATGAATGGATACATTTAAGCATTCCTAATCCAGCAATTCTAATCCCATGAATTATAATTGACAGAAGTAATCACAAACAGAACTCCATGTCATCCTGCTTCCATTTACATTTCTACTTAAAATCTTAAAATTCAAACACCACAAATATACCTAAGAATGCATAATATTTATATGCTATCTTGATATTAAGCATGAGAAAAATAACCATACAGCAATAGCAATTTTGAACCTCCTTCCTTTTTTAGATAAGTTATAATCCTATGTGTTTCTCTACAGTGAAGATTAGGATTGTAGATACTCTTCCTCTCCCTCACTTTTTATTTTAGAGATGAGAAATCTGGGGTTTTAGAAACTGAGCTCCAAGATAAAAGAAATATTTCTTTTTTTAAAAGAAGATTTTTTTTATTTGAAAGGCAGAGTTACAGAAGGCAGAGGCAGAGAGAGAGAGAGAGAGAGAGAGAGAGAGAAGTCTTCCATGCACTGGTTCACTCCCCAAATGGCTGCAATAGCCATAGTTAAGCTGATCCAAAGCCAGGAGCCAGGAAATTCTGGGTCTCTGATGTGGATGCAGGGTCCCAGGCATTTGGACCATCTTCTGCTGCTTTCCCAGGCTACAGCAGAAAGCTGTATTGGAAGTGGAGCAGCAGGGACTTGACCTAGCCCCCGTATAGAATGTCGGTGCTGAAGGCGGAGGCTTAGCCCACTATGCCACAGTGCTGGTCCCGAAAGACTTCTTAAACCAATATTTCATGTTGGTTGGCCTATAACTGTGGGGAGCAGCCCGGACTGGACTGAGTTACTGGAATTAAGACTTATTCTATGCATCTGCTCTCCCACAATATGGCGCTGGGAGAGAAGTAAACAGCTTCCACACAGCTGCCTCCAGTTCAGCTAATAAACTGTAGGACTTGCTCCTGATTGGAGGAGAGCAGCGTACTCAGCGTGTGGGCAGCCGAGTTAGGATTGGCGGAGGAGGACTATAAAGGAGGAGAGAGACGGCATGCACCAGGAACATCTATGGGGAACATCTGAGCAGCCCCCGAGAAGCCCCCGAGAGAGCCGGCCGGCGGTGTGCCGCTCCCCTGCGGAAGTGGGGAATGTGGCCAGGGGGAACTGCCCTTCCACGGAGGTGGAAGGGATAGTAGCCAACCCGGGAAGAACCAGCAGCAGACCCGGGGAGGGCCGAGCGGACGAAAGAACAGCGCAGGGTCCTGTGTCGTTCCTCCATGAAGAGGGGGAGCGACATATAACCTAGACTTTTTTTTTTTACCATACTTCCATGGGCAAATTCAATTCTAATCTCTTTCCACCTCAGCTTTCTCTTTGTAAATTGAGAATATGGTCTCCAGAATTAACCCAAGGTATAATTGATACAAAGTAAGGCATTTACTCTGTTAATCTGGCCCCTAGAAGATACTTGACAATGTTAGCCCTGTATCCAGTTCTCTTTTTTTCTTTTTTCTTTTCTTTTTTTTTTTTTTTTTGTACTTGGTGAATTAGAGGGTGGTGTAAAATGCTTTGAAAAGAACCACAAATAAAAGACACAAGTAAAAATCGTATTCTCAAATCTAGATGTTAAACTGTGCCATGTACACCTGTGCTGAGAGTTACATTGAAATCCTTGTCATTCGTTACTTGAGAGAAGCTGTCCAGGAATAAAGCAGCAAGGGATTTTCCTGAGGGAAACAGCGTGTGTGAGGGAACCGGGATTTGGGACTCAGCAGCAGTGGCTGTCACTTCTTAAGATTTTATTCAAGAAAGGAAGAACAGCAGCTGACCCTTGAGATCTGGGGTGGGAAGGAAGGGAAGGAGGGCTGTAAACAAAAGCAAACGCTCTCTGGTTCCCAGCCTGTCTCCACCCACCCCGCACTGAAGCCCTAGGAGAGGGCCAGTAAGTCTATCTAGGAATGCCCTGGCCTGGACTACATTTCCCAGAGTCACCCGGTGCTCTAACGTTTCCTGCTCTGAATGCCTGTGTGTGTGCATGTGGGAGAACTTGCGCATGCGTGCCTTTCCCTGTGGCTCGGGGCTGGGAACAGAAGTTCATTTACTGATCAGAGAGGTCCCTGAGAGGCCGTGCTGCTCCTTCTCCCACATTCCCTGGGGAGTCTTGCTCTGCAAGTGCAATTGCAGGCGGTTCGGGAGCACACACCCCAGACCTGCCGCCCGCTGCTTCTGTGCCTCTGCATCTGCCACCGTGGGCCCCAAGTTCCAGCGACTTCTCCTGTCCCACACTCTCCGCTTTGCTGCCTGTGTGTCCTGAGGGAAGGGGACGTGCTCCTGAGATTCCACAGCAAGTATGGAGAACAGGAGGGGCACAGATGTGTGTGTGGGAGAGGGGAGGGTGCGATGGTGGGTGGCGGCTCCCAGACCTCGATCACTTGCTTCTCAGTGATGCTGGGAGCTTCTCTGGCAGAGTCAAGTCTGGGGCCCAGGTGTTGTGTCTCCCACCGCCGCTTCCCAGTCTCCCGATGCTCGGCCAGTCCCACGGGCTGCCTCGCTCAAATTCTCCTTAAAGTACACTGGATGAGGAACAGCACCAGCAGGGCAGTTGAGAGCACTGTGAAGGAAGGAGTCCCATTCCCTAGATTTAAATAAGCCCAGTTCCCACTTTGGGTGGATCAGAGAATGCCTTGTGGCTGGCTTCCAGCTATATCCCCTGGTAGTTCCAGCTGGGCGGGGCTCGGTGGCCCTCAGCCAGAGCCTGAGGCAGTAGAGAGGTGGAGATGGAAGATCAGAGTAGGCTCTGGCTCCTGGCCCCCATGCTGGACCCCGCGGACACATTTTCAGCTGGGGCGCTGTGTGTTTGGCTGACTTTCCCAGCAGCACGTGAAGCTTGTGCAGTAGCTTTGTGGATTGATCGCTCCTCCGTGTTTAATTAACAGACTCTTTTTCAATCTGGAGCTTGAGGCCATGGAAATGTAGCTGATTTATTTTCCTGCGTTTCGATTTCTGTCTTCAACCCTTCTTTCTTCTCATGTTATTAGGGATGTGAACTTTTATTACCTGCTGCTAATCCCTTTGCAAAGTAAGAAGTGAACTGAAATTAATGCAAGTCTACCATGTGAGTTAATAATGAGCTACTTCAATCTGCATTTTCATAGTGGAGAGCTACGAAAACATAAATACAGAAAAGTATCAATTTTTCTTCTCTAGTTCTTTACAGTCACTCAATGCTCCACCAAGCTGATTATCTTACAGTCCATACAGTTGTAATTAAGGGGGCCAGTTACTTTTTTTTTTTAATTTGACAGGCAGAGTTAGGAAGGTCTTCCTTCCGATAGTCACCCCCCAAATGGCCACTATGGCTGGCGCACTGTGCTGATCTGAAGCCAGGAGCCAGGTGCTTCCTCCTGGTCTCCCATGTAGGTGCAGGGGCCGAAGCACTTGGGCTACAGTAGAGAACTCGACTGGAACAGGAGCAAATGGGACAGAATCCAGTGTGCATATGGGATGCCAGCACTGCAGGCAGAGGATTAACCAAGTGAGCCACGGCGCTGGCCAGTTACTTTAAAAAAAAATTATTTATTTATTTTAAAGGCAGAGTTACAGAGAGGCAAAGACACACACACACACACAGAGAGAGAGAGAGAGAGAGAGAGAGAGAGCTCCCATCTGCTGGTTTACTTCCCAGATGGTCACAATGGCCAGAACTGCATGGATCTGAAGCCAGAAGCCACGAACTTCTTCCAGGTCTCTCACACAGGTATAGGGGACCTAGCACTTGGGCCATCTTCCACTGCTTTCCCAGGCCATAGCAGAGAGCTGGATCAGAAGTGGAGCAGCCAGGTCTTGAACCAGCACCCATATGGTTTTACCCGCTCAGCCACAATACCAGCTTCAAGTTACTTTTCTTATTCTGGGTTCTGTGTTTAACCCCAGGACATTTTCAACACGGGAGGATATTAGTGATAGATTTTCAAAATGACTGGTCTGTGGATGCCTTTGTACAAGGTGTTAATGTGAAGATGGGTGAGGAAGAAAAGAGAAAATGTGCCCCTCTCCCCCACAGAGATGCCCACACAGTACAGTAAAAGATGTGGCTTTGGGCTGGCACTGTGGCTCAGTAGGTTAATCCTCTGCCTGTGGTGCCAGCATCCCACATGGGAACCAGTTCGAGTCCCAGCTGCTCCTCTGATCCAGCTCTCTGCTATGGCCTGGGAAGGCAGTAGGAGATGGCCCAAGTGCTTGGGCCTCTGCACCCATGTGGGAGACCCAGAAGAAGCTCCTGGCTCCTGGCTTTAGATCAGTGCAGCTCTTCTGGCCATTTTGACCAACTGGGGAGTGAACCAGCAGAAGGAAGACCTTTCTGTCTGTCTATCCATCTCACTATCTGTAATTCTACCTCTCAAATAAATAAATAAAACATCTTTTAAAAAAAGAGAGATGTGGCCCTGAAAACTATTGCTATAGACTAACTTTCAGTGTAATGAAGTTTTCACTTGATTAACTGAGTGATTCATAGATTCTGTTAGAGTCCTGTTGTCACCAGATTACTAATCTGTGAAATTCATGTAGCATAGTAAGGTTACCTAGGAAGTAAGAATAGAAAGGGACTCCTGGATAGAGGTTGCTAGGGTGACAGCATTCTTCCTCTCAAACCCAGTGTGTTTTGACCTTTTCTTGCATGTACTCCCTATCACAGTGCTTGCGAGTGGACAAGCAGTGATGTGTTTCTGCTGAGAAGAGCTGCTTCACACCCAGGAAACAACTGTAAGACACTTTCTCAGCAACTATGTTGTGTGTACGTTAATACGAACTTGAAAACAGCCAAGAACAGGATTGCTGGACTACTCAGGCTAACTCACTGTCCTTGGCACATCATTCCCTGCTCTGCAATAAGTTTCTGGCAAGTTCTTTAAAATTTTTAGGAGAGACATATTTCACATGAGAGACATAATCTGGTAATGCAGCAGTGATGTCTTTAAGAAAAGGTGCCATGTGAGGAAGCAGTCTGATGTGTCCATTCATCTTCCCATTAATAACTCATTGATGTCTAGCACAGGGTGACAGAAGCAATCCTCCTTCTGAATTGCATCAAGCCAGGAGGATTCCTCTACAGTTTATCTGAGCTTTCCTTGTATGAGGGAATCACCAAAATACTACATTGTATAGGGTTTTTTTAATGCATTTTATTTACTTGAAAGGCAGATTTACAGAGAGACACAGAGAGGTCTTCCATCCATTGGTTCACTCCTCAAATGGCCACAATGACTTGGGCTGGGCCAGGCTAAAACCAGAAGCTAGGAGCTTCTTCTGGTTCTCACACTTGATTTCAGGGGCCCAAACACTTGGGCCATTATCCTCTGCTTTCCCAGGTGAATTAGTAGGGAGCTATATTGGAAATGAAGCAGCCAGGTTTTGAACCAGTGCCCATGTGGGGTACTGGCACTGCCAGGGTCTGCTTAACCTACTACACCAGTCCCATGTGCATGTTTCAAAGAGGGGGAGGGGTTAAATTTTTTCTAATATGACTCTCAAAATAAAGATTATAATGTGTAGTAGATGATGATTCTGGTTATATTTTGAATTTCATTAAATTTCAATATTTTTTAAGTTAATGAGTACTAGTAGTTATCTTTTTTTTAAAGATTTATTTATTTTACTTTAAAGTCAGAGTTACAGAGAGGAGAGGCAGAGAGAGATAAGTCTTCATATGCTGGTTCACTCCCCAATTGGCTACAGTGGTCGGAGCTGTGCCGATCCAAAGCCAGGAGCCAGGAGCTTCTTCTGTGTAGTAGTTATCTTATGCTATCCTTGCTTTGGATAAACAAACTCTCCCATCCCTCATTTAAAATGCTTTTTAAAATAGGATTATTTGGAGGACTGGCACTGTGGCATGGCAGGTGAGGCTGCCACCTACAGTGCTGGCATCCCGTATGGGTGCTTGTTTGAGATCCAGCTTCCTGGCATGGCCTGGGAAAGCAGTGGAAGATGGCCCAAGTTCTTGGGTTCTGCACCGCATGGGAGATCTGACAGAAGCTTCTGGCTCCTGGCTTCAGACAGATCCAGCTCTGGCCATTGCAGCCATTTGGGGAGTGAATCAGTGCATGAAAGACCTCTCTCTTTGCCTCTGCCTCTCTGTAACTCTGCCTTTTAAATAAATAAATAAATATTTACATGCTACACCACTGTGCTGGCCCCAAGACTTAACAGGTTTTCTGGTGCTTATCTTGGGGTTCACTTTGAGCACTAAGCACAGTTATTCTGTGTGACTGAATATTTCATGTTCCTTCTTATGGAAAAGTTTTTCTCATGATCTGAGTGATTGGCTATATCTGCCCATAGTGGAAACTAAAACTTAATTTGGCATTTGAACACCCAGAGTGCTGAGTCCTGTAATCTTCTGAATTTAATCAAAAAATGTGTTTTGAAACATTTGGTCTGTGGGTAGGCAGGGCAGTTTTCCTGGATCCCTTGAGAATTGATGAGCTGATGGTGTGTTTCTACCCCACATTATATTCTGAAATTTACTTCCTTTTATTTTCCTAAAATTACTATATTTGTAATTTGCTCCCCCTTTCTGAAATGTTTGTGCTTCTGTCCTCCTTATAACCATGGACATAAGTAGCCCTTTTCCTTCTCTCTCTCTCTCTTTTTTTTTTAAACAGGCAGAGTGGACAGTGAGAAAGAGACAGAGAGAAAGGTCTTCCTTTGCTGTTGCTTCACCCTCCAGTGGCCACCGTGGCTGGCACACCACGCTGATTCAAAGGCAGGAGGCAGGTGCTTCTCCTGGTCTCCCATGGGGTGCAGGGCCCAAGCACCTGGGCCATCCTTCACTGCACTCTTGGGCCATAGCAGAGGGCTGGCCTGGAAGAGGGGCAACTGGGATAGAATCCAGCACCCCGACCAGGACTAGAACCCAGTGTGCCGGTGCCGCAAGGAGGAGGATTAGCCTATTGAGCCGTGGTGCTGTTTCTTTTCCTTCTCTTTATGATGTTACAAGAGCAGTGGGATATTGCAGCTCTCTCCCCTGGCAGCACATCTTCCTCATTACGTCTCTTTGAATTAGACCCTGGGTTAACTTGGCTGCACAAAAGGCATATATCTAAACCCAGTGTACCTAATGAATGAAAGTCATCATAAAGTCAATATGCCTTGTAAACCTCTCATCTCTTGTTTTGGAATGTGTTGTGAATGTGTCTTTTATGTCAGTGTCTGTAAGCTGGAGACTTCCCACTTAAGGCAGAAGGCTGCTGAGGGACAGCACAACTGTAGCTTTGCTCTGTTACTTTACTGTGGCTACTCTCTCACCCTCTCTCTTTATTTTATTATGATTTAAAAATTTTATTTTAAAGGCAGAGTTACAGAGAAAGAGGCAGAGACAGAAGGATGGGGATCTTGCATCAGCTGGTTCACTCAAGAGACTGCAATGAATAATGCTGGCCCAGCCTGGAAGTCCAACCCAGTGTCCCACATTGGTGCAAGGACCCAAGTACTTGTGCCATCTGTTTCTGCTTCCCTAGTTGCATTACAGGGAGCTGGATCAGAAGTGGAACAGCTGTGACTCGGGCTGGCATTGTGGCACAATGGGGAAAGCCACCATCTGTAATGCCAGCTTCCCAGATGAACAGCCGTTCATGTCCCAGTTGCTCCACTTCTAACCTAGCTCCCTGCTGATGGTCTGAGAAAAGCAGCAGCAGATGACTCAAGTGTTGGGGCCATTGTAACCCATGTGGGAGACCCAGATGAAGTGCCTGGCTCCTGGTTTCTGTGTGCTTCAGCCCTGGCCATGGCAGCCATCTCAGATGGAAGATCTCTCTCTTTTTTAGCATTTATTTATTTATTTACAAGGCAGAGATAGAGAAAGGGAGAGAATGAGAAAGAGATTTTCATCTGCTGGTCTACTTCCTAGATGGCTGCAATGGCCAAGACTGGGCCAGGCCCAAGCCAGGCACCAAGAGCTTCATCCAGGTCTCCCACTTGGGTGTCAAGGACCCAGGTATTGGGCCATCTTCTACTTTTCCAGGGCCATTAGAAGAGAACTGGATCAGAAGTGGAGCAGCCAGGACATGAACTGGTGCCAATACCAGATGCCAGCACTGCAGGCAGCAGCTTTACCTGCTAGTCCACAATGCCATCCCATCTGACTCTCCCTCCTCTCCATAACTCTGACATTTTTTTAAGATGTATTTTATTTATTGGACAGAGTTACTGATAGAGATAGAGACAGATAGAGAGGTCTTCAGTCTGCTGGTTCACTCCCCAAATGGCCACAGTGGCCAGATCTGAGCTGATCTGAAACCAGGAGCCAGTAGCTTCTTCGGATTTCCCATGTGGATATAGGGGACCAAGGACTTGGGCCATACTGTGCCACTTTCCCAAGCACATTAGCAGGCAGCTGGATTGGAAGTGGAGCAGCCAAGACCTGAACCAGGGACCATATGGGATGCAGGCCAGTGTCTCAACCAGCTGTGCCACAGCACTGGCCCCCAAAACTCTGACTTTCAAATAAATAAATCTTTTTTAAAGGATGGACACACATATTGGATCCCAGCATTTTATTTGGTGGTGGTTTAATCCACTGTGCCACAAAGCCAGCCCTACCCTTTATCCTGGTGACTTGTGTGTCAAGATCTGGGTAATATCTGCTGAACAACTGTTGGTATTATGTTAGACTCTTCTGTTTTATTTTGGTTCTCATTTGTTGAGTTTATTTTGGCTGCCACTTTTGGGTAGCAAGCTGTGATGTCATCAGTGGCTAAAGCTGCTGTGTGTTAGGCTGGCACTGATTCTACCTTTCCATTTCTTCAAGCAGAAGTGGAACATGAAATCCTCTCAAAACTAACATGCTACAAAGTAACAACTGGAAATCAAGCTTCCTTTCTTCTCACCTAACAGACCCAGCTGGTCTCTGTGTTTCTCATTTTAGCCCAAACCTACATCAGATTCCTAGAGCAGAAGGAAGCTTATTTTTTAATGCAGAATTCATAGATGTGGTTGTCCATTCACCTCTGAGAATTAAAGCCATCACTCTGCTTTTTGACTGGTTTTCAGTCTGTGGTGGTGCCCTCTCTCACAGGAGGACAGATTCCTCACAGAATACACCTAGGAGGAGAAAACTTTATGGAGTGGGTTTTGCAAAGTGAAATGGAACTCTGGCCTGGACATCCTTGAGATCATGATCAGCAGAGTGAGGAAATTCTTTGCTATGTCCATTCACATCCTTTCCTTTTTGTTCATTGTATTCCTCCCTTACATAGTGCTCTGTGCTCTCCTTCTGTTGCACACACACAAGGCATGTCTGTGATTGAGGCTGTTTGTGGACCACTGCAGCATCTGGAGTTGCCTTTGTCTCCATCTCTAACCAGAAACTCAGATGCAGAGTGAGGAGGGGACTGCCAGCCTGCCACACAGGGTTTGGGTCCCTTGCTGCTTTACTTTTCTTCAGTGCAAGAGCAGCCTTAAAGAGAGCCGTACTGGGTAGTATTATTTCTTTTGGATTTGAGTGCTTGGATAGCAAAAGAAATACATAATTTTTTTCTTATAGAATGGATTGAGGAGGCACTACATAAAGTCAGCAACAACTTTCTTGGCTCTTGTTACATGTCAAGATGAGTCAGAATATTTAGGGCCATTTGTTAAATTTTTTAAAAAATTAAAAATATTCATTTATTTGAAAGGCAGAGTTACAAAGAGAGAAAGAGAGATGTAAATCATTTATCCACTGTTTCACACCCCTAATGGCCACAGCACCTGGGGTTGAAACTGGA